GATCGATTTCCCGGTGCGCCTAGAGATCATCGCTCAGTTTTGAGTTGTGTGTTGGGCGCATCAGGTTGATTGGTTGTAACATGACGCAGCTTTGCTGGACCTAGAATAATGTTTAGCAAAGATACGAAATTTTGGCTGATTCTCATAGGCAGGGCCTCATTCACTGTGGTTGTAATTCATAGTATGTTAGATTGTTAGTTGGCTGTGATGAGATAATTTTTGTTTTAGATGATAACAGGTCCCATTCCTGCCTTGTGTTGAAATGTGGCTTTGCCCTTTACTGCGATGGAATCATCATTGTGTTGGTAGCATATTTGCTTATTTGAGCTCTAACATTTTTCATGCTACGAGCAAAGGCTATGCAGGATCAAGGCTCCTGGTTGCTGTGCGCTACAGTTTGCTTTTTGCTTCTTTTTTTTGGGGTGCGAATTACTGCACCACGATAACGCTTGCTATCAGAGGGGCCTCTGTGGGATCAATCAAAGTATTATTATACGGAACAGTTTGTCAACCAAGCGACAGGGCCCCTTTTTTTTTTACAATTTAGCCATTTTTCATAAAATATTCACGTTTACACTTCTTGGCGACGTAAAACTTTTTTTTTTGACCCAGGGGGTCGGCGCCATGACATGGCGTCGAGGAGACAGCATGTAAAGTGAAGTGGTGCCGACTTGGCAGCTAGCTCGGCGCCACAGGCGCCACAGATCATGGCACCGACCTTGCATTCAAAAGACTACGCCCACCTTTCCTTGCCCGAGCATTTTTCCATTTCTTGCTCCTCCCTCTCGGTTTCTCCCTCTCCCTAACCTGCCCATCCTTCTCCAATCCTCATATTCAATCTCGAAAACTTGGATTTGATCCATAGATCTTTAAGAGCAAGATAACCTCTCTCCCGTCCTTACTTTGTACGCATTGATTTGGTCTATATTGGCCCTGTTCGCTTCTCTTATAATCCGTCTTTTTCAGCTTATTTTTTCAACCGGAACAGTGTTTTTCTCTCACAATAAATCAGCAGGAACAATGTTTTAGCTTGTTTTTTCAGCGAAGCGAACGGGGCCATTATGTGTATTCTGCAACCGTAGGTACGTCATTACTTAGGGTTTGAAGCAATTAGTATTTTGTGTATTATGCAACCTTAGGTACACCAGGCCCCTCTCCCTCTCCTAGGATGCCAAGGCGTGGTAAATCTAATAAACCAAGGTAACCTCTATCCATCGTATTTTATTTTGCCGTTAATATATATCAATGTGCAAGTAATGGAAACCCTAGGATTGATTTATATAGTTCATTGATTTTGGTTTCTTACAACAAAAATAGTTTTTTAATAGGCCGATGGTGGGAACCGCCTTCACCCGTTTGCCACTGCCTAGTGGTGTTCCAGTGTCGATGTGCTACTACGGTGATCCTTGCAGGGTATAGGGCTACCTCGGCGCCAAGATATGTGGTGCCGAGCTAGCTGCCACATCGGCACCACTTCACCTGCCAGGCTGTCTCCTCGGCGCCGAGACGTGTGACCTCGGCGTCACGGGTCATGGCGCCGACTCCTTGGGTCCAAAAAAAGGTTTTACGTCGCCCAGGGGTATAAACGTGAATATTTTACGAAAAAGGGTCAAATTATAGAAAAATTGGGGCGACAGGGAGAATATCCTCTCAGACCCTGGGCATTTTGCTTGTTTTCGCTTATAATTTTCGTGCCATGGGTATTTTCTTGATTTGGCTATTTTTTTATTAATTTTGAAGCCGCAGTTAGGAGAAGCAGAAACAATCACCAGCTTGCCTGTACGGAAGAGGTGTATTTTGTACGAGGTCATATGGATCCGAATCCGGAGCGAGTTGAACGAAAGCCTTACCAATTACCATAACTATTGGGTGCTTCAAAGGGCTTAGCTAAGGTAACATCAATTTATCGGCCTCCTCATCAATAGTGGCTTCCAATTGCTCGGAAATTCTCCGCTATACGAGGGATCCTGATGGTGAGCAAAAGGAATTGATCAAGAAATTGGTAAACTTTTACATGATCGATGGTAAAAGAACTGAGGTCTTTTCACCGCCTAGCTCGAACTGAATGCGATGTAATCAAACTTATGGTTGACGCTGTAGATAATGGCCCCGTTTGCTTCGCTGAAAAAACAAGCCAAAACACTGTTCCGGCTGATTTGTTGTGAGAGAAAAATACTGTTCCGGCTAAAAAACAGCTGAAAAAGACGGATTATAAGAGAAGCGAACAGAGCCAATTTTCGTTGCTGGTTCGTGAAGAAGTACTGCTGGCTAGTTTGTGTGAGAGAAAAATACTGTTCCGGCTGGAAATTTACGATCGTTTACGATAAAGCACAGCCAAACGAACAGGCTGATAAAGCCTGATGTTCTTGGGATTGTAGCTAGGGATCATCAACAAACCTTAGCTATTCGTTGGATCCTTGGAGCAGCTTTCAAACCACGTATAAGCTTAGAGAAATGTTCATTTGCTGAAATGCGGTTAGCAGAGGCAGGAATAGTGGAGCCGATCGGTGAGATTCTCGGTTTTTTTTCTCTGCCAAGTTCCACCGGCGATCCGAGATATAAGCGGGACGTCAAGGCTTCTATCGTGATTAAAGATTTGTCGCTGTAACCATCACAACTGAGCGCCCGTGGCCTAATGGATAAGGCGTCTGACTTCTAATCAGGCGATTGTGGGTTCGAGTCCCACCGGGCGTGTAATAAAATTATATTTTTTTAAATATTATTATAGCATTTTTTGTTTACCTTTATTTTTAGGGAAAAAACGCTGTCTACTCTGTAACATGAATTTTATTTACATTATTTTTTTATCCAAAAAAAAGATCTATTCCACAAGGGGATATTCATGGATCATGTCATCAACGCACGATGACTGCCTTTTAGCTTTACACATACCGAAAGCGAAATCGGTTGCTCTCTCACATTGGCTGGCCATAATGCCATGTGAGACTGCAGATGCCCCTCCTTTTGGGTTGCTTGCCTTGCCTGGCCGCCGCAGCCGTCGTGCTGCAGCTGCACGCACGCTACCACCACCGTCGTGCAGCATCCTCGAAGCTGCCACAGGGCCCAGTCTACCTCCTTCCGTCCTTCGTCTCCCTTGACTTTCCCTCCTTTCCCTGACTCCGTTCTGGTCTTCTCGCGCCCGTGGTCTGTACCTGCACACGCGCCGCCGCCGCTCACCACACCGGCCGCCGCCACGTCCGCTCACCAGACCCTCACCTGCCTTTACCTGGTAACAATGATCTCTTGCGTTGCAATCTCTGTCTGCCTTGTGATTCGTCCGTGCGCCGACGACTTGACGCTGTTGCGGTGGTGCCTACAAGAACCTGAATCGACCTTGTTGTTTTATATTCTTTTTATTGTTACAATAAATAACTAGGGCATGTCGTTCTAGTGTGGGGATTTTTGGCTCTAGTGGATTGAGGATTTGATTGATGGGTGTCTGGGGAAAAAAAAGGCAGTCCCAACTCCCAAGCAAGTGATTAGGGGCCAGCCGGTTCTTCAGCTTAGTAGCACCTGGTTAGGGCAATTACTGAGCTGTGGTGCTTATTTTCCAGCTCAAAATGGGGAATGGTTCTTGAGGAGCAAACATTAGATGCGACCCTCTGTTTATTGCTTGCTTGATGTTAGGTTTCCTTGACAACAAAGGCCCTTCACGTGTCGTTAGCTTGCATCTAGTACTAGCCTCAAGGAACTTTACGAGTCTTCCTTCAGCTTAATGACTCGATTTTGTGCTTACCAAGTTCATATATCTTGCTTCGTCGAACTCATATGGTTAATGCGCAGTTGTTACTAGGCTGAGGGAATTTTACAAATTTTATGTTACTTTAATTCCGTTTTGCCAAAGGATGGCTAGTCCAGTTAAACCGAGATTGCTAGTCACTCCGTTAAGATCTGAGTTGATCCATCTGGCTCGTTTCATTTTTTAAAGGATATTTCATCCATCCAAAGTGTTTTTAAGTGTCGGCCCATTCATTTATTTACGCTCTCGATACTACCTTTTCTCGTCCCTGAAAAGAATACAACTATGGTATTTTTTCGAGTTTTTTTTAATTCCGCTTTGTGTGCTTAAAATTGCTTTACATATTTGATCATCTGGTTTTCTAGTAAATAGTATATTTCATCCATTTATTTTGTGTCGTTCAAATTTAATTTATTATGAAAAATAACATTTCGTAATTAATTTAATGATCAGATTTATTTGATATTATAAATATTTATATATTTTTTTATTATATAATTGGTCAAACTTAATTTAATGATGTTTATTTGATATTATAAATATTTATATTTTTTATCTATAATTGGTCAAACTTGATATACAAAACCATGACATTGTTCCAGAATTGCATTCTTTTGGGGACAGAGGGAGTACTTGTTATTTGTGTGATAGAGCATTTTTATTTGACTGATACATACGGATGCTTGTTAAATTCAGCACCAAATCTTCCTATGTCTATGTGGTGCCTCTTCCCTTTCAAATGAGCCTTTCTAGGCCTACTGTAACTGCTTACTCAACCTCCATTTTGCATCAAAATTCACATCAGTAGCTGCTAGCTTATGTCTGACGAATCGCAAATCCATCAGATGGAACAATCTAGTGTGCAGATTCTATTAGTGTACTACTTTTGGTGTAGTCCCTCCACCGTTTCCTGCAAAAAAAACTATAGTGCATGGTGTATATTAGAATCTAGTATCTAATCTGATTTATTAGATTGATCAGTTCTGTTTAGATCACAAGGTTCAGGCATGGAATGCCACCCAGCAAGGGATCAGGAATTCCCTGGTTCTACGTATTGTGCTAATACTTAAAAATTACTTACCCTTCATATGCTCTCTCTCTCTCTCTCTCTCTCTCTGGTTTCTTCCTGTTTCCTTGTGCATAATTTCTAAAAACTACATGTGATATATTTCTCAGCTGTTGTGACTTCTTTGCTTCAACGACTAAATGTGACTTCCTAATGCTTTGGAACTTATATGTTACCGCAGATCATTTTATTATAATGTGGGGTGAGAGAACTCATCACAAGCACTGGCATCAAGGTCATGGTTCCTCTGGGAATTCCAAGGACAAAAACCATGATAAAAGGCAGCCAAAATTTATACCAGACAATTATAGCTCTGTCGATGAGGTAACCAGCAGTAACATTTCCTGATGCGATCTTGCTCATATTTGAAGTCTAAACAAGTTTCTCATCTGAACCTATAATCTTTCCTATCATCCTTGATTTTGTTGGTCAAATCTGTTGAACATAAGTTAATGCAGAAACAAATACATTCTTAAGCAGAGGCAGGAGATCAGGAGTAAACACATTCCATTATCTTTTAAAAAAAGTAATCCATAAAAGGTCAAATTGAGGGCTTTAGGTGGCCTTACTACCCTAAATCTTGGCACTGACAGTTTTTAAAGCGACAATCTAGTATCATACAGTGTATACCTGTCAAACGGTCATAATTCTTTGGCCACAACATCTACCAATTTGGTTTCGTGTAGTCAACGCTGCTCACATGCTTCAACTGCCCAATTTCAACTCAATATGTTTTTTTTGTGTTATATGCCTCTGTATACATTTCTAAATTCATTTCATATTTGTGAAGGTTACTACTGCACTGAGAGAAGCTGGTCTCGAATCATCAAATCTAATTCTTGGTATTGATTTCACCAAAAGCAATGAGTGGTCAGGTAGTGTTCTGCAATCCCATCACGTCTGTTTCCTTCTACTTCATGGCTTTCCAGCAGCTTTACTTAAGAATTAAGATCCTCCTGATTATAAAGAACTGCTTGTCTGAATTCTGCAGGCAGGCATTCCTTTAGAAGAAAATCTTTGCATGCCATTAATGGCACCCCAAATCCATATGAGCAAGCTATCTCTATAATTGGGCGAACACTGTCACCTTTTGATGATGATAACTTAATACCATGTTTTGGATTTGGCGATGGTAACTATTCACCGTTCTTTTGTCGTTTTCCCATTATGAACTGAATTTAGGCAATTGGCACGGTTCATACATGACATGACAAGAGTTAATTCATTTTGTAGCTTCTACACATGATCACTCTGTCTTCAGCTTCTACCCAGAGAACGGACTCTGTCGTGGCTTTGAGGAGGTTCTTGTAAGGTATCGGCAAATCGTACCACATTTGAATCTTTCAGGTAAAGAACACCCCCCTCCCCCTCGCGTACCGTAGATGCTGTAATAACTAAGAAGACCAAAATATTTCAGTTTCCAGAGAGAGCCCACACTCTAGGATGGTGTTTCAAGTTTCTGAAGAGAAACAAGTCCTAAGCTCCCGATAAACTACTGTGCAATAATCTATTTGTGCAGTACTCAAACTCGTAGCGAAATATTAGTGGCCAGTAGCATTACTGGCAGTACTGGTCTGTGGTTACGTGTTGCTTATTCCTTGGTTCAACTGTGTGCAGGACCAACTTCTTTTGCACCTCTTATTTATGCAGCGATTTCTGTTGTTGAAAATAGTAATTGGCAATACCATGTCCTCGTGATCATAGCTGATGGACAGGTAACATGTTCATAATAGCATCAAAATACTTAACTAGAATTATCAACATATTTGACCTGAGCAAAAGTTGTAGGTGACTGCCACTAATACAAATGATGGAAGATTAAGTCCACAGGAACAAGCAACTATACAAGCAATTGTTGATGCTAGGTAAAATTCAGTTCATCATTTCTTAGAACTTGGTCTTGTGGTATTACTGAAGCCTATTTGGTTGTCAGCCACTATCCTCTTTCAATAGTAATGGTTGGGGTGGGTGATGGACCATGGGATGCGATGCAGCATTTTGATGACTGTATCCCTGAAAGAGCTTTTGACAATTTCCAGGTGATTATAATACTACTCTATGATGTTTAAATTCCAAAACATTGATGTTCCTCCACTTATAGCAGTACCCCATGCTTGCTATTGTACCTGTACCTGTCACTTTTTTACATAAAGTTGTGAGCATATTGATTATTCCAAGTAAGAAAAAATATACTAACCTAATTAAATTTATTTTCTGTCATTGCCTTCTGAGTAGAATAGACTTCAGTTTCTGACCTGTTGGTCTTCTGAGAATCTTACTGATGAACTATTGCAGTTTGTGAACTTCACTGATATTATGTCAACAAGTAAGGATATGTCAAAGAAGGAGGCTGCATTTGCCCTTGCAGCTCTTATGGAAATACCTTCTCAGTATAAAACAACTCAAGGCCTCCGACCTCCAGAGTACCTGTTCTTACTCAGTTCTTTGTGGTCCTGAATTAGTTTCTTGGCATTGCTGTCATTTCTTTTCCATTTGCTGATCTTGTATGTATTGTCTTATCTGAACTAATCTCCCAGAAAGCACGCACAAAGGATTGGCTCTCCTAGGATTCTTCCTCCTCCAAATAAAGTTCTTGAAAATGATAATGCTGCAGCTTCACATCCTTCTCAAACTGCAAGCTCGAAGTCAACTGGTATTGGCAAAAGCACTGCCGACGAGCAGGTACTTTGGGCCAGTAACTATTCATTATATTTCTCAAGAGTGATGGCACATTAAAGTGTTAAACTATATCTTTGCCGCCTACAGGTATGTCCCATATGTTTAACCAATCCAAAGGACATGGCTTTTCAGTGTGGTCACCTGGTAAGTTTTCTATACACATTCCATCTCCATATGTGAAGTATTGAAGTTTGAAAGTGTGAAATGGTAATCCAATATGACAATATCTATTGCTAGTGAACTCTCCCAAATGAACTAACTTGAGATTTGAGAACTATGGCTAACCTTTAAAGATAAGAATTCAATTAAATCCTTTGTTTGGATGAGTTATTGACAAACCTTTTTTTTTTTTTTTTGCAAGACATGCAAGGAATGTGGTCCAACACTATCAACGTGCCCATTGTGCCGTGTGCCAATTACCATGCGTGTGAGGCTCTACTCTTAAGACTAGGGGTGAAAATGGTACGGATATTTTCCGACCGTATTCAAGACCGAATCTGTTTAGAGGAGTTTAGATCTATCCGTATCCGAGTCCGGATATTCAATATTCGATACCGTATCCGTATCCGAATACTCAAATCGCATATTTACGATGTCGGTACCCAATCGTATCCTATCCGACATAGCTGATACTATTCGTATTCGAAGCCGAATCCGAGCAGAAATGTGAAAACAAATATAATATGGATGATATCCATCCGTATCCGATCTGTTTTCATCCCTACTTAAGACGGCTTGGTGTCTGGAGGGATGAGACCAAACAGTAAGGAGCAAGAACTTTGGAGCGCAAGGACTTTCACTACAATCTTCAGATGTGAATGTCATGATAACGATGCATGTACAAAAACTTCTCCGTGCCTATGCAGTAATGTTGTTGACGAGTAATTTGTATCAATCACATGTAAAATTCTAATGTTATCCTGTATTAGTAGCAGGGAATTTTGTGTCCTTGTTGAATGGAATACGGAATACCACCAATTGTCCAGCAACGATAGTAAACTCCATGTGCATTTGGAAGGCACTTGTGAAATACAGAATAGATTATTCAATCTTTGGATTCTGATGTGAATCAATAGTTTGGCAAAATTAGGGTTCTTTCGGTCTTCCACAAAGCTGTTGGTTCGGAATTTAAAATAATAATTTCAATCACGCCAATATCTTTATTTGTTGACACCAAACAGGTTACATGGGCAGTGTGTCACTGGTCTTGTGATTATTTGTTTTCTCTCTACACGAAGCACAACACCTGGAGGCTGGAGTAATGTTATGAGCACTAAACAAGAGATTGGTGTATTAACTTCTTGGGGGACAGTGCACAACAGTGGTACATAAAAAGATTACTTGACAAGGAGATTGATATAGTCATATAGGGGCTGTTTGGCATTGCTCTAGAGCCGAACTCCAGGCTAGAGCTGGCTAGAGCTAGCCAAACACCCTAACTCCAAAAAAAAGTTGGAGCAGCCAAACTCCATGAAGTTATTAGAGCTCTAGTTCATTTTCTTGGAGGACCTCTTCCCCAACTCTAGAACTCTCTGAAATAGACCTAGACATGGAGCTCGAAGAAAATTACCCACCTTTGCCATTGATTACACACTCCAGCGAACCGTTTTTCTTTCTTTCTGTCCGCCCCTGCGCCTCCCTTCCCCCGCCGGCCTATCCTCCTTCCCCCGTGCCTCCTTCCCCTGCGCCTCCACTCCCCCAACCCTAACCCTAGACGAGAAGAAGGGCGTCTTCCTCATCGACGGCGGGCGTCCTACGCATCGACGGCCGTCGCCCGACGACTTGCTCCGGCGCCGTGAACCACGGCAAGCTCCCCCAACCTACAGTGAAGACCCGGCAAGCTCCCCCAACCTACAGTGAAGACCCGGCAAGCTCCCCCAACCTACAGTGAAGACCCGGCAAGCTCCCCCAACCGTGCAAGGTATTCCATCCCCATTTGTATGCTGTGATTTGTGAAGAATGCAGTGATTTGGTGATTTGGTATAGATGCTCTGTAGTTGCCCTGTACTACTGAAATTTTGGTAGTCAATTAGTTGCTCTGTAGTTCATGTTAGCGAACTGTGCATGTTCTGAATGCTTGTGTTGAGTTGGTATAGATGCCAGAAATTGATTGGAACGTAGAGAACACTCGGATCCTATGTGGTTTGATGGCCGAACAAGTTGAGAAAGGTAATAGGCCAAATATATTCTTGAATTCAGTTAGTTATGCTGCGGTTGAAAAAGGATTCAAAGATAGGATGTGTATTGAATTAACCAAGGGGAAAATCAAAAACAAGTGGGATAAATTGAAGGAAGATTTCAAGGCATGGAAAAAGCTAAAGATGAGGCAAACATGAACGGGTTGGAATAATGGCACTATTGATATGGACGATGAATGGTGGAAGAAAGCTAGAGTTGCAAGTGTTATATGTACGAATGTTATCTATTTATTAATTAGTTGCTGTTATTATTTTGTACTAATATGTGTTGCTATCTTGCATATTTTCAGGACATTCCAGGCTGTGGGAAGTTTAAGAAGCATCCCCTTCAAAATGAAGATGAGCTGACGACTTGTTTTCAAGGCATCGTTAATGTTGGTGCTGACCATTGGTCCCCTTGTGCCGCCAATGCTGCAATGGCTGCAGCACCTACACTTGATAGTGTGACACAAGAACCAGCCCAAGATGAAGAAGGTGCAGCACAAGGTGCGACATAAGGTGAGGAGGTAGATGAGGTTACACCTTCCCCTGGCAGTGGCAAGAGAGCAGCAAATTCTAGTGTACTGTACCTTAAATTCTTATGCTATTTTTTCATATGTACAGGCAAGTACTATGTCGTGGACGCGGGCTATCCTAATCATCCAGGTTACCTAACTCCAAACAAAGGTGAAAGGTATTTATTTACCTGAGTGGCATCGAGGTATGGAACCATATACTTGAAAAGAGAAGTTCAACCGGATTCATTCATCTATTTGTAATGTTATTGAACGTTCATTTGGAGTGTTAAAGATGAAGTGGCAAATTCTTTATAAGATGCTTTCCTATTCCATGCTCACACAACAGAAGGTTGTAGCTGCTACCATGGTTCTCCACAATTTCATACGTGAGCATGTTAGTGGAGATGTGGACTTTGCTAATTTTGATCGAGATCCGAACTATGTGTCGACTATCCCGGAAAGGTACAATAAATATGCTGTGTCTCAACATGCCTCTGATGGATCCACTTCGGAATCAAGCTTTGTGACTATGGACTCATTTCGTGATATTTTCTTTGGCTACATCCGTCGCATTAGCTTGGAATTAATGCAATCATATTTTCAAACTATGGACTTGTATCACATTAGCTTGGAATTAATGTAATCATATTTTCAAACTATGGACTTGTATCTCGGATTATTTGGTTGGATATGATTATCTTGTAATATGTTGGTACTTTAATTTAATTCACATGCTTGTTTTGCTGCTGGACGCATCATTGAAGTACACTCATGTCAACCAAGGGCAAAATGGGCAATCCACATTGATAAAACACCATTCTGGAGCTGAGAGTACCCTTCTTGCCAAACACCCCTGTCAGACAGCTCCAACTCCATTCAGAGCCAGCTCCACCTGAATTTCTGGAGTGGAGCTGCTCTATCTGGAGTTGGAGTCATACCAAACAGGCCCATAGAGTGAGACCTGAGACCTATCGGGGAAATCGTGATGGATTCTACAGACTACATGTATCTATCATTCCCATTATGTATCCGTATCTCGTCTCCTCGCCAGGTGGGATTTCAGAGTCCAGCTCATCCTTGGATACATCATCATGCCAGTCATCAGTATAATGCCGACATGGACTGTTAGGAATGACACCAACATGGCATGGGCACAGGCCACCTGCAGTTCAATGTAGTAATAGTTTATCCAAAACATTGTAACTACCTTAATAGTATGTCTCAGGATGCCTGCCTGTTTAACCGAACTCGGCGATCCCTGTCCATTTTCCAGAAAGAGGAAGTACTGTCCTTGCCAACTTCACCAGCCTCAGTGTCGATCACTTGTAAATAGATTTATCACACAACATTATGCTTGACTAACAATTGGAATCACCTCATTACAGCCCAATGGATGTGGTGCAGCATGGACTCAGGAGCATCAAGAGTTCCCCATGGCACGGGACCCCGAGAGCTTACCTCTGTCTTCTCGCTCTTGGTTGTCTGGGAACACACCACTAGTTGCAGCCACAAAACGGTCCTGTAAACCCTCAAATGGCATGGGTGCCAATGCCACAGCCAGCTTTGCCACGATGGTGTCTGCACAGCTCCATTGAGAGTCGTCGATCCGGACGCTGAAGGTACCTGCATTTTGTTCTCCTTGAGGACCCATGCGCTGAGAGAGCAGTCTTTCCATGCGCTGAAGGTACCTGCACAGCTCCATTTTGTTCCGCCTTCCTGACATAGGCACACTGATCACTAACACTGGTAGCCGAATCTGGTAGGACTCTTAAGACAAAACAGCCTGCAGGTGGATAAATATAATTATATTGGATAACACAATCTAGCAGATGCTAATTTTTTAGTAAATTCATTCATGATTGACTAGTGTAAATATAATTACAAGAAAGTAGTACCTTTTCGTTGGCAGGATGCCCCTTCAGTCAAAATGGCATTCATCAACACAACCATTAGGACATCATAGATATTAATGAGCCTTTCGATGTCTCAAGGTTCTCTGATGTAATACTGAAAAGCTCAGTACATCTGGCTTCATTCCCTCATCTATCATTTCTTGGAAAAGATCTTCAGCCTTTGCTATTTCTCCCTGGCTACAGTATCCATTTATAAGAGCTGTGTATGTGTAAACATCAGGGCTAAGTCCTTTCGCTAACATCTCATCAAACAATCCCCGTGCTTCCTCTAAATATTCTGCTTTGCACTGTCCATCAATCAATACTGTGTAACAGGTTACATCAGGTTCAATTTCCATATCTTTCATAGAGCTCAGCAACGCCTTATGCTTTGTTCTAAGAAAAAAGGTCCTCCTTTCCTTAGCGATGCCCTGCCACCCTTGTTGTAGGGTTTCCTTTAGGTGGCCATCCAATAGCACTGTGTATGCAACTACATCAGGCTTGATTCCTAAATTTATCATTTGAACAAATAATTCACATGCTTCTTGCAACCGACCAACCTTGCAATAACCATTCATCAGTACAGTGTATACAATGACATCAGAAAGTCCTCGCTCAACCATATCGTGGAACCATAAGTGAGCATTGTGCATATCTCTTGACTGACAATAAGCTGATATAAGTTTGCTATATGAAATTACATCAGGAACAACATTCTTTTCAAGCATCATACTACATACAGTTGATGCCTCTTCAACCTTTTCATCTCTACAGAGGCCGTTTATCAATTTTGAACATGACAAATGATCCACCATATTTCCTTGTTTAGCAACTCTAAGAAAAAGCGTGTAAGCATGGTCAGTCCAGCCTGAGTGCAAATAACCACAAACCATAGAACTGTACAACACATCGATATTATCTATTCCCTTTTCTTCTACTATATTAAATAACACCTCTGCTTCGCTCAAGTTGCCTCCTCTACAAAAACCAGCAATAGCTATACCATAGGTGAGTGAATTAGGCTCCAGCCCTTGATCATCATGTGCTCTAGAAGGTCAAATACCTTCATAACAAGGCCATTCCTGCTATATCCACTGGACAATATATTATATGTAACTACATCTGGTTTTATATTTGCCTTCAGCATCTGCTCAAATACTTGCCAGGCATTTTCTGTTTCTCCTTTCAGACAGTAACCGTTGATCAGGCATGTATAGTGGATTTTGTCTGGTACCAAACCTTCAGCCATCATTTCATTCAGTAGCTTAACTGCCTCATTCATGTTCCCAAGCTTGCAATAAGCATCCATAGCAATGTTATAAAGCACGCCATCAAGATGGAGCCCTAAATCTCTAAATTTCTGGAAGTGCACAATAACTTCAGATATCATACCTAACTTCCTGAGGCACTGTAGAAGGGAACCAACAATGCAACAATTTATCTGTAACAATTTATCTCGATGCCATGGGATACCATGTCTTCAATATGATACCATGCCGTCTCTAGGTTACCCATTTTGCAATGACTATGAATGAGATAGCTATAGCCATATAGATCAGGGGTAGATCCATGTCTGGTCTTGATCTCCAAGACCTTTTCAGCCTCCTCCAGTTTCATTTCTTTGCATAGTCCATCAATTACCATATTATAAGCCATGGCTTCAATTGGAACCCTCTCTTGGGATATCTCTTGTAGAACAGCATATCTTCTTACCATGTTATAAGCTAGATCATACTTTCTACAATCACAAAGGCCAATTATAAATGATGAGTATACATGTACATCTAATTTCACTCCCATTTCAATCATCCCAACCCACACTTGGAATGCTTCGTCTGCCTTGTTTGCTTGAAAAAGCGATCTAGTGACTATGTTCAATGATTGAGCATCCAGTGTCAACTGAAAGCACTTCATTTGATCATAAGCTGCAACAACCATATGTGAATCATTGCTCTGAGATACAAATTTGAGCAGAAAGTTGCAAGCCCAAAGCGTTGGAACAAATCCAAGCCTGCAAAGGTGACAAAACATCTCTACTGTTTCTTGTGCGTTGTGGCAGGTGGTGTATGCCTTGATTAAGCAATTGACTGCATATGAGAGTACGTGAGAAGTGGCACATGTTTCTCTCAAGTGATCAATGAGCGCTAAGATTTCAGGGCCACCACTACCAGTTCCTGAGAGAATCTCACCAAACAAGGATACCAGCATCTTCCCCTGGAATGAATGGGATAAAATTTGTATGATCTCTGAGTAGGTTGAGAAGTCATGGTGAAAACCAAGGCTATGTGTATCTTTAAAGTAGGCGAATGCAACTGCAGGTTTCCTCCTTAGACAGCGGAGTGTCTGCACAACACTGTCAGAGCTCAAAGACCGGTGCAATTTCTGGATAGGCTCATTATCAGGAGCAAAATTCAGCTTTTCATCACCGCTTGAGTCATCACACTGAACTGGAGCGGCGATTGTAGAGTAGGGGCAAGAAGGAACTTCCCAGGGTAAAAGCTTCCTGTGTCTGAACCATTCAGCAGTACATTTGGGCCACCGCCACAGGATCATTGGAGATATAAATCTTTCTGCTCCTCCTACGGCCCATTAACCATCACTGATAAAAGAAATATGCCTGAATCAGAAAAAAAAGACAAAACATATCAATATTTTCAGAGAGTTCCCATTACTGAACAGGGAATTGTATTATTTGATTTCAATGCTGATTGCACACAACATTGGCGACAGATAGAGCACTGTTTCCCCATGAGGAAATTCATAATAAAGTTGGTGATCCAGATGCAAAGCGATATATCCAACATTGAAACAGGTTATTGATCTTCTAGTATGGTGACAATGTACTAGAAACTTGAGGACATGTTTTTATGATCATAGCACAACTATAATCTGCACAGTGAGGCTAGAAATCTTATTAGCATTAAAGTAATTCCGTGTCCTTTATGTATATCTATCATATCTTCTTGTGAATCTTCAAACAAGGTGGCTGTGGTAGTTAATATGCCGCACTGAAACAAATTCGGTATAATTCAAAAGTAACACTAGGAAGTAGGAACTGACCTCAGTATAATCTTAATCTGCGCAAGGCCAATACAATACCGTGTTCTGCTAGCAGTGCTATTTGATCAGACAGTAATAATCCTAGAAATCATACTAGATTCAATTCTTTGAGAGTGGATATGTACAGTTGTAGACACGGGCCGGGAGTGCAAGTGCAAGCAATCAAGCAAGCAATACGTCACACGACAGGAAGAGGGGAAAAGGGGAGGTGGGGAGGAGGAGGAGGAGGAGGAGGAGGCCGGCGGTGCCGCGGACCTAGTGTGGAGGCGAAGGGCGGCGCGGCAGCCGTCGCTCGTCTCCTTGCTTTCCCGTGCGCCGGCCCTAATCCTCCATTTGCTCCCCCTCCGTGTGTCTGTCTCGTGGGCCATAGGTGTCAGTTTCCGTGATGGGTGGACAATGGGTTGGCTCAGCTGGATGGGTTTCTGGAGTTTTTGGAGAAGAGATAGCTCCTCCTCTCTCAGCCTCCGCCTTCCTCCTCGGCGTCGGCGGCCATGCTGCTCCGCCTCCGCCCGCCGCCGTATCCGTCCACCGCGTCCGCAACCCTCTCGTCCTTCCTCCCTCCACTTCCTTCCGCCGCCTCATCCCCTTGCCGCGCTGGCGGCCCCCTCCGCGCCGACGCCTCTCCGCCGCCGCCGCTGCCAAGGGTAAAGCTCTTCTTCACAGCTGTGACTGATGCTGTCGAGAAACGGAGAAGAGGTGCTTACTGCCAAATTTCTGCTGTTGCGCTAGATTCGAGCGGCCGGTTGGATCCGCGCCAGGAGCGGTACGACGTAATTGTGGTCGGAGGTGGCCATGCCGGCTGCGAGGCCGCCCTTGCTTCGGCTCGCCTCGGCGCGCGCACCCTCCTTCTTACGCTCAACATTGACCGGATTGCGTGGCAGGTCTGTGCTGAGCTAGTTTTCAGTTCTACAGTACATTTCTAGTGTTCGTTGGCAATGACGTATCAACTTACGCTTCTTGATCCTTGATGGTAAATATTCTAGTCAAGTTCATGGCTAAGATTATTTGAACATTGACTCCCGATGCCATATAATAAAAATCATGTCCCTTATATGAAGAATTGATCCATCAAACCCTGTAGTGTAGGAATTGAGCAATGTGAAATCTCTCCTGTCATAGCATGTTTATAGGGTACAAATTCTCTTCCAAGGTATGAATGTATGATAGAAACTGAAGTGATGAATTTTGATTAGTATGTTGCAATGCATATCTTACCATGCTAAAGCCAAATTTGCCCTGTTCGTTGGCTGATAAGCCATGGCTGAAAGTACTGTTGGCTGATTTGTTGTGAGCGCGTGTTTAGTTCCCACCCAAAATCCCAAAAAGTGCTACAGTAGCCATCACATCGAATCTTGCGATGCGTGCATGGAGCATTAAATGTAGACGAAAAAAAACTAATTGTACAGTTTGGTTGGAAATTACGAGACGAACGTTTTGAGCCTAATTAGTCCATGATTGAACACTATTTGCCAAATAAAAACGAAAGTGCTACAGTAGCCAAATTTCCAACTTTCCCCAACTAAACACGCGCTGAGAGAAAAATACTGTTCGTTGGCTGAAAAAGTACGGCTTATAAGCCAAGTGAACTAACTATAAGGAAATATCCTTTGTCTACGAATTCCATGTAAATTTTAGTATTAGAAGTGTAATTCTGCTTCCTAACTAATTTTCTGCCCTATCCAGCCTTGCAACCCTGCTGTTGGTGGGCCTGCGAAGTCTCAACTTGTCCACGAGGTAGATGCCCTTGGTGGTGAAATTGGAAAAATCGCTGATAGGTACGAGTTCAAATGTCTTGTTGTCTGGAGAATGAATTTTTCTGCAAGTTCAAACGGCTGAGAGATCAGACTTTGATTACTAGTGAATCAACAAAAGATATCTTAGCATCCTCATTGCATCTTCTTCTGATAGGTGCTACCTGCAAAAGCGTGTACTGAACAGCTCAAAAGGCCCTGCTGTACGTGCACTGCGTGCTCAGACTGATAAGAGAGAGTATGCAATAGAGATGAAGAACGTTGTGGAAAGGTCAGTGTATACTAAGCTGCTTTAGTCATAAGTTGCTAACTTTACTTGGATTTGTAATCTTGTCTGGCACCTCCAAAGGTAGTTAATGCTACATAAATTCTGAATATGCTTTAACTTGGATCACCATTTCAGAGCTTCTTAGGTCGTACTCACAAAATTGTGATCTTCTTTAGTTTAAACTATATCAAACATGACACCTTCACAAATTTGGCATGTGATATTGTTGTTACTGATTAAGACCATGGTTCTGCATGACTAATCTTAAGTTCTCAATGTAGTAAAAAAACTCTCAACGTAGAGGTAAATATTTTAATCTTCTGACATCAGAGTTTAATTTTTTTTTCTGCCTGCCAACTTTTGTCATGCCATGCTGATGTTTACTGTTGTTGATCGCATGTATTGTGATAAATTTCACATTGCTTATTGACTATTCCATGTACTATGCTTCAGCACAGAAAATCTTTTCATTAGAGAAGCAATGGCTACAGAGGTTTTGATTGGAAAAAATGACAGTGTTGAGGGTGTTCGCACTTTCTTCGGCATGGACTTTTACGCACCATCTGTTGTACTTACCACCGGAACATTCATGAGTGGTAAGATTTGGGTTGGTAGGACATCAATGCCTGCTGGGCGAGCTGGAGAGTCAGCTTCTCATGGACTTACTGAAAACTTGCAGCTTCTGGGTTTTGAAACTGACCGCTTAAAAACTGGTACACCACCACGAATTGATCGCAGGACAGTTGATTTTTCTGGATTGGAACCCCAGCATGGTGATGAAGAGGTATATAGTACACAACATAATTTTCCCACTTATATCGAGAAATGCAGATTCAATAATGCAATAGCTTTTCATTGCTGTCTTTTTTATTCATTTGGTACTTTCAAATTATATGCTGCAATTCTGTATCATCAGGTATTCACTCCGGTTCAATAGTTCTTGTCGCTTTGAACATTGACACCCTCTCCAAATATAACTTTGTCTATGATTTTTTATTATATTACAACATATACAACAAAATAGCAAATATGTCAGTTTCTTAAAGTACTTTGCAAGACTAATCTATATATGTTGTCTTAGTATCTTCAACAACAACAACATCAACAAAGCATTTAAGTCCCAAACAAGTTGGGGTAGGCTAGAGTTGAAACCCAACAGAAGCAATCAAGGTTCAAGCACGTGAATAGCTGTTTTCCAAGCACTCCTATATAAGGCTAAGTCTTTGAGTATATTCCATCATTTCAAGTCTCCATTTATTGCCTCTACCAAAATCAACTTCGGTCTTCCTCTGCCTCTCTTCACGTTACTATCCTGGCTTAGGATTCCACTACGCACCGGTGCCTCTGGAGGTCTTCGTTGGACATGTCCAAACCATCTCAACCGGTGTTGGACAAGCTTTTCTTCAATTGGTGCTACCCCTAATCTATCACGTATATCATCGTTCCGAACTCGATCACTTCTTGTATGACCACAAATCCAACGCAACATACGCATTTCCGCGACACTTATCTGTTGAACATGTCGTCTTTTCGTAGGCCAATATTCTGCACCATACAACATAGCAGATTTAATCGCTGTCCTTTAAAACTTGCCTTTTAGCTTCTGTGATACCCTTTTGTCACATAGGACACTAGATGCTTGGTGCCACTTCATCCACCCTGCTATGATTCTATGGCTAATATCTTCATCAATATCCCCGTCTCTCTGTAGCATTGATCCGACATATCGAAAGGTATCCTTCCTAGGCAGTACTTGACCTTCCAAACTAATATCTTCCTCCTCTCGAGTAGTAGTGCCGAAGTCACATCTCATATACTCGCTTTTAGTTCTTCGAGTCTAAAACCTTTGGACTCCAAAGTCTCCCGCCATAATTCCAGCTTCGATTCACTCTGTCTCGACTTTCATCATCTAGCACTACATCGTCTGCATGAAAAGCATACACCAAGGGATGTCCCCTTGTATGTCCCTTGTGACCTCATCCATCACTAAGGCAAATAGATAAGGGCTCAAAGCTGACCCTTGATGTAGTTCTATCCTAATCGAGAAGTCGTCCGTGTCTCCATCACTTGTTCGAACACTAGTCACAACATTGTTGTACATGTCCTTAATGAGCCCGACGTACTTCGTTGGGACTTTATGTTTGTCCAAAGCCCACCACATAACATTCCTTGGTATTTTATCATAAGCCTTCTCCAAGTCAATAAAACCATGTGTAGGTCCTTCTTCTCCCTATACCGCTCCATAACTTGTCTTATTAAGAAAATGGCTTCCATGGTTGACCTTCCGGGCATGAAACCAAATTGGTTCATAGAGACCCGCGTTATTGCTCTCAAGCGATGCTCGATAACTCTCTCCTATAGCTTCATAGTATGGCTCATCAACTTAATTCTCCGGTAATTAGTACAACTTTGAATATCCCCTTTATTCTTGTAGATCGGTACCAATATACTTCTCCTCCACTCGTTAGGCATCTTGTTCGATCGAAAAATATGTTTAAACAACTTCGTTAGCCATACTATAGCTATGTCCCCAAGGCATCTTCCACACCTCGATTGGGATACCATCCGGTCCCATCGCCTTACCTCCTTTCATCATTTTCAACGCCTCTCTGACCTAAGATTTTTGGATTCTCCGTACAAAGCGCCTATTGGTGTCATCAAAAGAGTCATCCAACTGAAATGTTGTGTCCGTATTCTCACCATTAAACAATTTGTCAAAATACTCTTGCCATTGATGTCGGATCTCCTCCTCCTTCACCAAGAGATGCTCCATTTCATCCTTAATGCACTTAACTTAGTTGAAGTCCCTTGTCTTTCTCTCACGAACCTTAGCCATCCTATAAATGTCCTTCTCTCCTTCCTTCGTACTCAAATGTTGGTAAAGATCCTCGTACGCTCTACCCTTTGCCACACTTACAGCTCGCTTTGCAGTCTTCTTTGCCACCTTGTACTTCTCTATGTTATCCACACTCCTGTCATGGTACAAGCGTCTATAGCATTATTTCTTCTCCTTAATAGCCCTTTGGACTTCCTCGTTCCACCACCAAGTATCTTTAGCCTCGCCTCCACTTCCTTTCGACTACAATGTTATCCACACTCCTGTCTTAGTATCTTCAAACTAAATATTTGAAAAGTTATTGATAGTTAAAGTTCTAAAGTTTTGACATCAACATTGTCCAAACCGACAAGAATTATGGAGCCGGAGGGAGCAGCTAGATATAGCAACACTGTTCTTTTGAAATGATACAGTTATACTGGTTTCTCTCTAAATTAGTCATTAGTAGGCATGAGTTTTGTAGTTTATAAATCTTATAAGAAAGTATGCCATGAACTGAGTGTTCCTTGCATGTGTAAGATCAAAAGAAGCCTTGAATTAAGTACACTGGTAGACTTATAGAGAATAATTTATATGCGTTTACTAGCTGATGCCACCCTTTCGACTACATGAATTTTCCCACAGGAATTTTACGAGATTTCCTGCATCTAGTATATGCTGTAAACCTTTCAGGTTTGCACCCATATGGTAAAGGAAATCAGTTGCATTTTTAGAATGTAGGGCTTGTCAGGATGGTTAAGCTTGAAATTCAAGTTGCTTTTGTGTTACACTTTTTTGGGGGGATAAAAGGATGTTCCTCTTGAAACAGGTAGGTTGGTTTAGTTTTGATCCTGAATTTCACGTTGAGAGAGAACAGATGTGCTGCTATCTAACACGAACTACAAAAGAGACGCACCAAATTGTTATAGACAACTTAGATGAAACACCAACTTATGGTGGCTGGGTTGAAGCAAAGGGACCAAGATACTGCCCGGCAATTGAAGATAAGGTACTGTATAATGGACCTTGTTGGTTTGTTACATGGCAATCTTCTTTTATTTTGATTATTTGGATTGTCAACAAAACTTGTAATTTTCTTGCAAAAATTTAATTACTATACCTACAATGACTGATGTACCCACTAACCAAGGTCTTGTTGCAGATTGTAAGGTTCAAAGATAAAGAGTCTCATCAGATCTTTCTTGAACCTGAGGGTAGAAATGTTCCTGAACTATATCTACAGGTATGTTCCTCCTTTCCTATCTCCATTCACGATTCTTCCCTTTTTCTTTGATGAACATTGGCATATAATTGTGCTTCTTTTCTGTTTGTCTCCATCTGTATGTGAAAGTAATGTCTGTGTACTATTGCTCAACCAAACCCTTCTTTTTTTAGATGAGAAACCTACTACTAATGATCATTTATACATCTTTATTAGGGCTTTTCTACTGGGCTTCCTGAGAGATTGCAATTGCCCCTTGTGCGAACTATACCAGGGCTGGAGAACTGTCTAATGCTAAGGCCTGCATATGCAGTTGAATATGATTACTTACCTGCATATCAATGCTCAAGATCACTTATGACAAAGAAGTTTGTGGGTTTATTCTTCTCTGGCCAGATAAATGGAACAACGGGATATGAAGAAGCTGCAGCTCAGGTTTATTCATTGTTCTTGCTCTGTTCTTCATGAGTTAATTGCAGTTCGTATGGTTGGTTGGACTAGATTTGCTGGATCCTAAGCTTGTTGATTGCTGTATATAGGGTATAGTTTCTGGAATCAATGCAGCTAGGCATTCTGATGGGAAATCATTAATTATTCTTGAGAGGGAAAGCAGTTATATAGGAACTCTTATTGATGATCTTGTTACAAAAGATCTTAGAGAGCCCTATCGCATGCTAACAAGGTATGGAATTTCAGTACAAAACATTTTTATTATTGATGCTTAAATAATTGATGCTGAAAATTAGTTTTACTCCTACATTATATAGTAAGCCTGAGCAGTGTTATGCAATATTTTTTTTTTTAGTTAACAATTGAGTTTACTTTTAATAGGAAGTATTAGGTGCACAACTGGACAAGAGTATATTGGTGCACATATGCATAAACTCAATCTCATCCCTCAGATCCAATATGAACTGTCCAAGTGAGAGGTGGGAATTCCAATTCCCTCATCCTCTTGTCCACCTTTTAACTGGACTAGATCCAGTTAGGCCTAAATCAGCCCAAGAGGGGATGAGAGAACTCCCACCTCAACTTTCGGCCACTTGGATCCAAGGAGTTGGATTTAAATTTGATTTGCACATATGTTCACCAATATACAATTGTGCCCCTGATATTTGATCATCTTGGTATGCTAAAAATTATGAGTACAGAAGTTGAAAACACTATAATTATCATGATCCTCATATTGCAGCGTGTATCAGTTAGTTTAACGTTAGTGATTGTGAATTCCTGTAGGCTACAGATACACATGGTTTTATTTTGGTAACACAAAGTTACATGCTGAGTTCTTTGAATTTTATGCTGTCTAATTCAATATGACTTCTGTGTTCAGAAATTTCTTAACTTTTTCCCTTTTTTTCTTTGTTTTTGCTGGGGCATTTATGGACATCCAGCCGTTCAGAACACCGGCTATTGCTTCGAGCAGATAATGCTGATAGTCGTTTAACCCCTTTGGGACGAGAGATTGGTTTGATAGATGATAGACGCTGGGAGCTTTATCAGTCAAAGCAAGCCCGCATTAAGCAAGAAAAAGAACGGTTGAAATCGACAAAAGTTCCAGGTGAGCATCATATATTTTCTTCTAATGAATAATGACGTACCTTTGACATACTGCACTATTCATATATTGTTTTAGATGTCCTAGAATGCATGCATTCAAACTTTTAGTTTTGACTGTTACATAAAAGTATTTACACTTTATCATGAAATTACATAAGTCGATATGTAATCGCATTTAAGAATTTTGGTAGCATATAATTAGAAAGATAAATGGTCATATAAATTTATTGAAGAAAGGCGATGTCTTAATTGACAAGTAAGAAAGAGGGGGGGGCAATATAATTCTTTATACATTAGTGCCCAGTTTTTTAAAAGGTTGACTGCACATGTACTAGAGAATCGTGTATTTTGACTGTGGGTAGTATATAAAATGCTGTTACCGTATCATTACAGTTCACAAGCTCTACCTCCAATGTTCTGTTATCAGGAGGTGAATTTGCTGCTGAAGTTACTGCAGTATCCAACCAACCTGTAAAGGAGTCATCTACACTTGAAGCCATACTAAAGAAGCCACATGTACAGTATAGGCTCCTTGATAAGCATGGATGTGGAAACGAAAATTTATCTCGAATTGAGAAGGAATGTGTAGAGATTGATATCAAGTATGAAGGTTTCATCGCACGACAACATAGTCAATTACATCAGGTAATTGCTTATGGTTATGCGATTTTGTTCTGGAGTAGATTTATGAGGGAAGCTGAACTGCTAGAACAATGGTACATAATCATTCAAGACATCCAACAGTAACACATTATGCATGATTTCGTTTGTTTTGTTTATTTAATTGAAAAGTCAGCTAACTCTTTGTTTTTTGTTTTTTCTCTCTGTAAAGATTGTAAACCAAGAACACAGGAAACTTCCTGAAGATTTGGATTACCACTCAATGACAAATCTATCACTTGAAGCTCGAGAGAAACTTTCCAAGGTAAGTTCGGGATATGTACAAGGAACCTTATGAAAGATAACCTGCAACTAAATAACAAGCGTTCAGCTGTTCTCCATTTATTGACAACATGTTTTTTGGGGGGTTTCCACCTGCTTTTGGGATATGTACATGAACCAAGCATTCTGCAGCTGTCCATTTATTGTGAACATTTTTTTATGTTGAATTATTAAGATATTGGTCACTATGAATTTCAACTACTAGGCGACATCTTCTTTTCTGAAACTTGGTGTCATGTGCAAGCACAAGGTCAAAGTAGACCATATAAAAAAACATGATAATGTGATATTACTGCAGTCACATGTTATTCCATTGTAACAATGTAGATTGGGAGCCAATTTTGTGGTATAATCTTATCTAAATTGTACCCTGTGATTCTTTTGTAGGTGCGTCCGCAAACAATAGGTCAAGCTAGCAGAATTGGTGGTGTGAGCCCAGCAGACATGACAGTTCTCCTCATTTGGATGGAGAGCAACCGACGCATGGCGAACCACAGGAGACAGCAAGAGCAGCTGAGATCAGCTGCAGTCGAGGCGGATGGTTCTTCAGAGGAGGTGATCCATGCCAGCACTGCATAAACGGGAGGGTTGGGGGGGCAGCTTCTGACTGATTCGGGCAACTGAACCAGGAACAACAAATTCCAGGGAGTCTGCGCGTTTTTGGTAGAACGATGCAGGAGGCGCAAATGCATCTATGCCTTTCTTTTTGATGACCTGAAGAAATAGTTGTCCTGTGGCGCCCTTCATGTTGTGCGTTATTGTCTAGCAATATGTGTGCATGTGGCTTAGGAGAACTAGTAGAATATAGTTTGGTAATTGCAATTGTAGAGTTTTCAATACTATACAATGAGCAGATTGTAAAGAATGGCAACAACCGTAATGGAGAGCTCTCTTTGTTCATCTGTGTAACATGGCTTCAAAAAATTACTCGTACATGGAACTGGGAGATGATGTCTGCATTTATCTAGCTGTATGTCATCTGAATGTACGTGGTAAAGAAGAGAACGCAAGGAAGTGCCATCTGGGGCCTCTGCTCCTCCGTCACCCTAACTAATACTGGGAGGAACTAAACGCTGACGAGAGGTTAAGGTGCATGTTAAATGAGGCAAATTTGGTTTACGTGTTAGTTTGTTATTACTTTTCTGAGACGCTACTTGCTGATCCACTGATGGATGGATGTTCTTATCTTATTCGTTCATGTCTTTGTTTGTTGTTCTGAACAGGGTTCAAGTTCAATGGATTGGAGAGTTCCTAGCCTAGCGCAGTCTGTTCATTCAGATCAGAGACGTCTCTCCGTATGTTGTTCTGGTGCAGCAGGCTGCAATGATAGACGACGACCTGTGTGTGCGTTGTCTCAGCTCAGTGATCCACAGCGAACATGTTATCTGCAGGCCTACAGTACCTATTATTTTGGCTTGTATAACAGTTTGGATTGGCTGCTATTTTGACTATTCTACTACGGAGTACATGTTGGACACAACAGCCAACAGGTGAACAGAGCAGCAATCAGCGATCTTCGCCCTGTTTATTTGGTCGTATTTGATTTATAAGTCATGACTTATCAGCTAATAAATAGTATTTTTTTCTCATATTAAACCAAATCAATAATACTTTTAGTGTGGTTTATAAACCAAACCATCGCAAAACGAACAGGCGCACGTTGTTTTCCGGTCAGGTCACGGTCACCAGTCACCACCCAAAATACTCTTTCGCACTAAAAAATTCACGATCTCTTCGAAGTAGCAGCCAAACGTATCTTTTTCCCCTCCCGCCGTACGTTCGTTCCAGCTTCCAAAGCGCTCGCGAGCTGCCATGGCCGGCGCCGGTGCACCCGCAGCTCCCCGTCCCGCCCGCCCCGGCTTCGACGTCATCGTGGTGGGCGCGGGCATCATGGGCAGCTGCACGGCGCACGCGGCGGCGTCCCGCGGCTCCCGCGTCCTGCTGCTGGAGCGCTTCGACCTGCTCCACCCGCTGGGCTCCTCGCACGGCGACTCCCGCATCATCCGCGACGCCTACGCGCAGCCACGGTACCTCCGCATGGTGCGCCTCGCCCGCCGCCTCTGGGCCGCCGCCGAGGCCGAGGCCGGCTACCGCGTCCTCACCCCGACGCCGCACCTCTCCATGGGCCCGCGCGCCTGCGCCGCGCTCGCCGCCGCCGTCGCCAACGACGGCGCCGAGGAGGTGCGCGACGACCTCGGCAGCAGGTGGGGCGGCGCCTTCGCCTTCACCGTCCCGGACCCGTCCGACGGGTGGGTCACCGCGCTCAGCGACCACGGCGGCGTGCTCAGCGCCACCAAGGCCGTGGCCATGTTCCAGTCGCTCGCGGTCGCGAAGGGCGCCGTGGTCCGGGACAACACCGAGGTCGTCGGCATCGAAAAGGCGCCCGAGGGCGGCGTCGTGGTGAAGGCCAGCGGCGGCGAGGCGTACCACGGCTCCAAGTGCGTCGTCACGGTGGGCGCGTGGGCGGCCAAGCTACTCGGCTCCGTCTCCGGCGTGGACCTCCCCATCACGCCGCTGCACACGCTCCACCTCTACTGGCGCGTGAGGCCCGGCAAGGAGCAGAGCCTCTCGGCGAGCGCCGGGTTCCCGACGTTCTCCAGCTACGGCGACCCGCCCGTGTACGGCACGCCGTCGCTGGAGGTCCCGGGGCTGATCAAGATCAGCTGCGACGGTGGCCCGCCGTGCGACCCGGACGCCCGCGACTGGCTCGCGGGCGACGCGGAGGTCACGGACCGCGTGGCCAGGTGGATCCAGGAGGCCATGCCGGGCCACGTCGACGCCGCCGGCGGGCCGGTCGTCCGGCAGTCGTGCATGTGCGCCATGACGCCCGACGCCGACTTCGTCGTGGACTTCCTCGGCGGGGAGCTCGGGCGGGACGTCGTGGTCGGGGTTGGGTTCTCGGGGCATGGATTCAAGATGGGCCCTGCTGTGGGGAGGATCCTGGCGGAGATGGCCATTGATGGTGACTCCCAGACGGCGGCAGAGGCTGGCGTCGACCTCGGGTTCTTCCGGATCGGCCGCTTCGATGGCAACCCCATGGGAAATGCCAAGAAGGATTAGTACTGAGCTCCTGCTGCCATGTACTGTAGGAGTGCGTATCTACTGAATTCTTCTCGATCGTGGATGCATTGGTATTGAAATAAAATGGATGGGAATGGCACGGAACAAGTTTTTTTTCCCATGTAATGTTGAACTAGCATTGAATGGAACTTTCGTAGTAATGTCAAGGCCCTTACCCTCTTCTCGACTCTAATGACGTTCGGGGAGGCACGAGCCCGCCGTAGCGCGTGAAACTACGCACGAAATAGCTGCAGGGGTGGGCGTACGTCCAGACGTCCGGAAACCTGCTCCTCTACTCCCTGGATATATCTTCATATAGATGTCCAACGGGCGGCCGCACGACCTGGCAAGCACATGCCCGATGCATGTCAAACACAAAGCACGGCCCAATGGGGGTCGGGGGCATCGTGCACATCACGGCCCTTCAGGCCTATCGGGCGTTTCATGCCGGTGGGCATCGTGCCGCACCGCTGCAACAAGCGCCAACCGACCCATCGCAGTCGCTTTTCATCGGCAGGGCCCGCAAAAGCCGCGCCAAAGACACTAGCCGGCCCGGAGGATGCAGCCGCCGCTTCGGGTCGGCGCCTAAGGCCCGACGCGCGGGCAAGGAGGTGGCTATCGGCGCGCAGCTCGAGCGCGCGCTCTGTCATCGGGGCGTGAGGAGATGGTCGTCGTGCTCTTCCGCCGGAGGGGCGATCTGGTGACCGTGGGCGGTGCTCGGGAGATGGAGGAGGATGGCGCCGGAGAGCCGCGGGCGATTCGGTTGGTGCTAGTCGCGAGGGCTTTAGCGGGCGTGGAATCGACTCTAATCGGGCGGCGGTCACCACAGGCATTCGGTCGAGGACGAACCGATCGATGATGGCTCTCGTCGTCGTCGGTCGCCAATCTAGGACCGATCGGTCTTTGCAAAAACGGAGACCGATGAAGTTGACCGGTGTCGGTCTTGGGGGCGTGGAGGAGGATGGCGAGAGAGAAGGCAAAAAAATAACAACATGATTTATTATGACAAGTTCGTTCTTTCTCGGCTCTCACAAATCACAATCACGGATGGGAAGCGGTACGAACGAAGTCGTGAATCGACGGCATGCACCGCCACTTCGGCGGGGTGGAACTAGCCGAGTTAGTTGAGCCCGAGGCCGAACTCATTACCTAACTTTTCGGTTGGGAGTTGTTGGGTTGTAGATGAATTAATTTGCTATCGTTAGCGGCACTACTGGGACTGTTGTTGTAGGTCGGCCCGCTTAGGGTTGAGTTGTTGGGTTGTAGATGAATTAATTTGCTATCGGGCCACTACCGGACCTGTTGTTGTAGGTCGGCCACCTGCTACTCGTCGTGTCGTGCCGGCTGGGGCCCGCCGCGCCATCGGGTCGAGGCGTGCTTTCGTCTACGCCAGCTAAAAATACGGGCTTCGTACCTAGGTGTTGTGCTACGGGCTGCATGGACATTTATATCTTCACCTACACGGCTACACAGGTTCTCAAAACTAGATGAAGGGATAACATCTAAAAATCCATTCCAAATAAATATACCATCAAGATATTTTAAATGGAAATTAACTAAAAATTAATTCAATATTAAAGATACTTATGTATTTTTCCTATCTAAAACTTGGCCCTATCTTACAAAAGGCCCAGAAGGTGTTATTTTACACGGGCCGCGTAACCCAACTTGAAAGCCCAACAACCACCATTTTCCTGGAGTAGCTTGTAACAGAAGCCCTCGCTCGCGCCCCCGCCATCCCAATTCCCACCTCGGCAGTTCCCACCACCAGATCGCCGCGATGCAGCGGGAGCCGCCTACGCCGTCCACCGGCACGACGGCCCTCCGCCCGCGCGCCAACGTCACGGAGGTCCTTCCACGCCACGACACCGTGCTGTACTGCCCGTCGTGCTGGGCCTACCTCCAACCCCCGCGGTCCTGGATCCGCCGCGAGCCGCGGTCGTGGATCAGCGCCACGCCGGGGACGGCTAACGAGGTAGCAAGCATCCACCTGGGCCGCGTGCGCCGCCACATCGCCGGCCTCGGCCTCACGATCGCCGCCGCGAGGTTCGTCTCCACCAACCCCTGCCCCAGACGCTTCGACCTCCGACTCCACCTTCGCCACGAGCACGAGGCGCTCAAGACGGAGCCGCAGGCGCACGTCGCTTCGCTCACCGCCCACGACAGCCTCTGCGACGCCTGCTGCCAGGCTCAGGCGGACCCGGACCAGTGGCCCGCCGTCGTGCAGGTGCGCCAGCGCGCGTCGCCGTCGACGCCGTGCCGCCGCCGCACGCTCAGCCACGTCGAGTCGCTGCTCGTCTGGTACTGCGGCAACGACTCATTCCTCCGCGTGGACTGGGACGCGGACGCCGGGGTCCTCGACGTGCACGTCGTGTCGCGCGCCCACGCCGACCGCTTTGTTCGCTTCCTCTCCACCGTCGCGCCGGCCCCCGCCGTCGGCACGGCGCGGCAGCAGCTCGTCTCGCGCGACGACGAGGGCAGACCCTACAGCCTCCACGTCATTTCCGTGGACATCTGCCCGGTCTGCGAGGACGACCTCGTCCTCCTGTCCACGGCGGCGTCCCGCGCCCTCGGCGGCCTGTTTTAAAAATCAAAAGACATGCAGATTAGATACACATGTAAAATCAGAGCAAACATACAGCTGTTTTATTAGAAGACAAGAAGCACGGCAGTATCATAACCGGTCAAATGGTACGCAGTACACACTGCCAATGAAATGCTTATGCAGGGGAAAAAGAGTCATTTTAACTTTTATCTAACCAGAGTAGTAGTACGAACTGAATTGACCCAAAAAAATATTCCATAACATTGTTGCATCATTGCATGGGCTTCAACAGGGATGGACACTAATATGCAAGCATTGATGATTAGATAATATGCTCCAGACTAATAGCTGAATATATATAGAGCTACTCCGACCAGTTATATGCTGCAAGAATTGAAGATTAACTAGATAATACGCCTACCAGCTAGTGCCACAGATTCAAAGCTTCCATAGCAGTAATCATCAGATTTGACGGTTTCTTACTCGTCGTCATCCTCATTCTCACGGAGAAGGTGGATGTAAGGAGCCATGTCGAAGAAAGAAAGTGCGTGTGAGTTTAGTTCCCAGGTTGGCGGATGACGTGCAATGTCCATGGTGTTGTTGCAGAGCACCTGTTTTATGGCCCGTTTGGCACGGCTTTGGCTCGTGAAAAAACAGCTCTGGCTCCGGCTCATATGGAAAATCAGCTTTTTCTGGCTCTGGCTTATTTGTACTAAAATGTTTGGCAAAACGGCTTCTCCTAGTTGTAAAGAAGATGTCAAATGTCTAAAATACCCTTATATTTTTTTTTCTATTTTTTTTCTTTTTTCTCTTCATTTTTCTTTTCTTTTTTCTTTCTTTTTTTCTTTTTCTTTCCTTCTCCCCTTCTTTTCTTCTCCTTATCCGAACGGCCACACTCCTTATCCTCTCACCCACTCCCTCCCTCCTCTCTCTCTCTCTCTCTCCGGCGTGAAAGGTGAGGTCAAGGGGAGCTTGAGGCCCTTGGGCCGGGAGGCGGGCGGGCAGGAGGGGCCGGCAATGGGGCGGAGCTGGAGCTCGAGGCCGGCGGGGCAGAGCAGGGAGCTGGCGGTGGGGCGGAGCTCGAGGCCAAGGAGCGTGTGGGGAGATCGAAGCCAGCATGCGAGCTGAGGCTTGCAGCAGGCCAAGCCGGCCAGGCTGGCGTCAGCGTCTTGGCGTCGGGGAGGAGAGCAAGCCGGGGACAAGGATGGAAAGTGTGGAGGAGGAGCCGGAATAAGCCACATTTTTTGGCTTCTGTGGGCGGAGGAACTGTCTCACCGCATTTTGTGGGGCTTTTGCTGGCTCTCGGTCGCAAGCCGTTTTGGGCTCAAGCGTTTGGCACAGCTTCATCAAAAGCCGCTCTAGAAGCTGCTCGATGAGCCGTGCCAAAGGGCCCCTTAATGTGAAAGGGGTCAAATGGAAGGACCAAGACGGTCGGTCAGATGCCGTTCGTAATTTCTGGCCCTCAATGTCAACTTTGAACTGTTTAGATCTGGTTTCTAAGTTTTTCCTCCTCCTCCATCACCTCAATGTCAACTTTGTAGATCGCAAGCTCACTGAAATAATCAGCCATTGGGAAGTAGGCGCAGTTGGCTTGATTGCCTTTGAACATGCCGACGTCAACAACGACGCACCTGACTCCGAGGAATAGAGCTAGGTTACCGATGCTCCTGACCCGCGGCATCACATTCCCGGCCAGAGTCGACCTTGAAGACATCCCCTCCACGGCGGCGCTTCACAACCGCCAGCATATCCCCTGTAGGGACCCTCACCGCGTAATGACGGCAGCACACGTCGACGGCGAGTTGGTTGAAGATCCTGCTGGCCTTATAGGAACCAGAGCAACGCTTCATGACAGCGCATTTGGCGGCCGCTATCAGGGGCAGGCTGCTTGCAGGACATTTGGTGTGGCTCTCCACGGAGAAAGAGGCGCTCTGGGGGTCTGCCCAGTACACCTTGTTAGGGTTGTTGGACACGATGGAGACCAAGACGAGGGTCGAGGGTGGACGAAGATCCGACGACGTCGGCGATGAACCGACACGGTGCGGCCGGCATTGGCGCGGCGAAATTGATGGAGGAACCGGTGAAGGGGTTGAGGACGCGCACGGAGTTGTGCTTGGACGATGCGGCGAGTCCCTGGCCGTCGTCTCTAGGACGAGGAGACCACCGGTGGTGATCGTGACCAAGTCGTAGTCCGGCCAGTGGCGGTGTTGACGAAGAGGCGCGAGTCGTCGTCGTCGCGGTTGGCGTAGTGCTTGACCTCGTCGAGCATGACCCACTGGGTGGGGCGGGCTCCTGGGGTCGGCGGTGGAGGAGCGCCAGTGCTGGCACACGGCGCGCATGTCCATGTAGTAGTCGAGGTCGTTGGTGGCCAGGAGGCGGTCGACGACGCAGTTGACGAGGCCCGCCGGAAGCGAGGACCAGCCGTGCGCCGACACTGCCTCGGCCTCCATGGCCAGATGAGTGCTTGAGGTAGGCGAATAGATCGAGCAGGGTTAAGTTAAAATAGAGGAGAGAGCGGGAAGCTGGGCGGCCGGCCGGACGCACCAATCGTTTGGAGTCCCGAGCGGAAGAAAGGATCTGCACGCCACTGCAATTTACTGCTCAAGTGGCTCAATGACTTCAACTATGCGTCATCATCAACATCATCTATAGCTTCACGGCTTCACCCCACCAAATAGGACCGAGACCATCAACCTCTGCAAACGTAAAGCTTCATCATTAGATTGTGGCCTTTGACCTTCACTACTGGACCATTTCCCACTCCGAGAATACATGTCGAAGCCCAAGATAGACATCAAACCTAGGCTTAGGTTTTTGCATGGATACGTCTGAGTCATCTACGTGCTCTTTTCTCCATGTTCTTTCTATCCCACTAAATTTTTGGGATGGAGTTTTTAGTGGAGCGCACATGCAAAGGCGGTGAGGGAGCCCCTCACGGCTAGAGAATTATATTCTTAGGCCTTTTTTCTATGTAGTAGCAACTAGGTCTTGTTCCCTGCCAAGACCCAGTAGCTAAGGGCTACTATTGGGGTATGGGCGGCTACGCCTACACCATTTCTTGTAAAAAGGCTCAAGGCCCAAGGCCTGAGCCATAAGGAACATGGAACTCAATGTAGTTTGTAACCTAAAGAGGGTGGGGAGTAAGATTGTCTCCTCCCACCTCCCCTATAAATAGAGCCCAAGGGGAAAGAGCTAGGGTGGTTCCCTCACTCACACCAAAACCGCATCTCTATTTCCCTCCTCACTCTCTCATCTTCGAGCATTTCCAAACACATCATATGAAAACAAAAACTATTGATAATCAACAATATCTAGATAACTATCTAAGCAAAGCATCATCAATGTGTAGCTTACTAATGTTGGTATTACAATAAACAAATAGGCAAGATTAATGACACATCTAGTCAAGCAAGTGACCTCTCTAAATACCAATCATGTAAAATCAAAATATCAGTATAACAACCATTAGCTAATAATTATATTTTTTTCATATAAATTGGCCCTGAAACAAAATTTCTTAACCATTTGGCCTCACTTGAAGTTTCATTTTCTAATCTGACCTTACCATCATCTCCTACCTCTAACACCGTTAAGTGGCACATGAAATGACCAAACTACCCCTGAGACATTATGAGAAACCAAATGTCACCCAGGCAGCATAACAACATAATTTTGAGCACTTTGAATCCAATTTTCATAACACAAAATTTTAAGCACTTTTTGATAGGAATGCAACATCCATACCTCCAACATTATAGTAAAAAATGATGTAAACTTGATCATAGCACACAATTTAAACAAGTTCATCATCCTAAAAATTCAAAAGGGGCACAGAGCACATAGTTCAACATAGTGTTCGACACATACATCATTTTCTGCAAACTTTAACAGGTGTTTACAACTTTAACAGGTGTTATGTACAAGAATCAGCAAAACCCTGGTACAAGTCGTAGATATAACAACAATACAAAATGATTCAAGAATTCTAGCATGAGTGAGAGTGCAACCTGACGCTTTTGGAATTCTTGTGCAATCTCGCCAACCAAATTTTTGCACAGAAGACAGTTATTCATTTAAAATCCAAAGGTTTTCCAAAGAAATAGCATGTAAACAGTATATTTTTTCAAACAAAAATGAAGCATATCCAATAGGTGAAATAAACTTCTTAACGTATTCGAGCATATCTGAATCAATAGCATTTCAGAAAGGGGTTACTCTATGCAGAAAGTTTCCTCGGAAATAAAACTTAATAAGTACAAAAAAGAATCATGTGTCATGCCTATGCCCTGTCGTTAGTTGAGCAGGATATGAACAAGTTTGTAAACAGTGTATACTTGTAGGAGTTCATTTATTGTGTCATGATATAGTGTGGTATATCAGTCCAATAAATGCTTACAACTTTTTATTATTTTTGCATAACATTACATGATATAGTGTGGTATATCAGTCCAATAAATGCTTACGACGTTTTATTATTTTTGCATAACGTTGCATGAGTAGCATTGCCAACACAGCACACTAGAAAAGTTTAGACTTCGCTGATTGAAGGGGCCAGGAAACATATCATTTCAGTTCAGTCATACCTCACATATTCATGACCCCATGAACCAATATCACCCTCAGAGCCCAACAAACGGTATTTCAGGCTCTCCTGCAACAAGAAGATGTCTCAGTTCTAGATTCACAAGAACAGTAATGACAATAGGAAGAGAACTATTGCGGACGGCACATACTCTTTCTCCTTCGATGGACATTGTCAAAGCTAACACTGACAGTATGTCAGCCATATACTTCTGCAAAACAATAAGATGGTGGCATCAGCACTGAACCAAACTAATCTAAAGTTGGGTGATCCAAAGTGTTCACACATACCTTGAGCTCGGACTCTGGCATTGTTTCAAAATAGGACTTCAGAGTTCCAAAGTGCGGGCGGAGGAATTTCAACGGCTTTGGGACTGAAGTCATTGAGCTCGTGGCAGAGTGAATCTCATGCCTGAAACAAATCAGTTTTAGTGGCATCAAAAGTGTTAAGAAACAAGCCGTTGGTTGCACAAAACTACAGGCTCAATTAATCCTTGTCATACACAAGAAAACCCATCTTAATCTTTACACATTATAGGCAATAAAGGCATACAACACCACGACACTAAACTAATCTTCACAAAGGTGACAAACTTAAACCCACAAAGCTTAGTTACCCTAGGGGTCACGCAACCCTAGACCTAAATTGGGAGGATTTGCGAAGCGAGCAGTACCTCATGCTCTCGAGCGTGAGCTTCTGCACGCCAGGATCCGCGTCAATGGACGCACGTGCTTGTCCGATTGCGTCCACACGTGTGACGCCCTGATCACGCTGATCACATCCCTCCAAGGTGAGGCCGTGCTGAGCCCACCTATCGGCCCCATCTCCCTCTTTCTGTCTGCTGACCGCCGCCGAGCCGCACCACCAAATTACCCAACGATTGATCACCTCCATTCAATTCATTTCATCCACGGCTTCACCATCACGTCCTCTCGTTGCCCAACCCCACCCAGCCATGAAGAAGGCACTACCAAACTCCAATTTGGAGCTTTTCCCCACCGTCGTGCCATTAAGGCCGCGCTCAGCCATGGTCGAGGGTCAGCCCTCCTACCGCCAATCCTAAACCAATTCACCTGCACCACTAGCTTCGCCTTGACTCCCTCTTCACCCTGCACGCCTTAGACAAACCGTTACCGCCTCCCCATCATCGCTGACGCGACCATGCCGCCACGGTGCGCGCCCCACGACGTGGCCAGCCCTTCTTCGTCACCCTCTTCTCCACCCACCACTTTGGCTAGGTCCACGGTAGTCTCCTAATGCTCACTTGCTAGCCAATTAGGTCCTTAGGTGCTCTAGTTCGCTAGGGCAGCTGCGCCACTGTCGTGGATGGCCGCACGCCGCCATAGCTAACTCCAACATGTCCCATCGCCACACGTTGCTACTCGGCGTAGGCGTTGGGACCATAGTTGAATTTTGGCCTAACCGATGAGCTAGTGTGGGTCTCTGGTGGCCAGCGTGACCACCTATAAGGTCGAGATGGTGGACTAGAGGGGGGTGAATAGTCCTTTCTAAAATTAATCGCGTCGGCTAATCGAAACAAGTGCGGAATTAAAACTATCGGTCTAGCCAAGACTACACCCCTCTATCTATGTTCTCTAGCACCTTCCAAAGATACTAATTAAGCAACAAAGGTGCCGGACTAGGTAGAGCTCACCTAACCAATTCTAGAAGCAAGGTCACACAAACCTATGCCACTAGTACTTCAAGCAACAAGGGAGCTCCTACATATGCTAATAAGCAAAAGCACAAAGCCAACTAAGCTTACTAGCAATGCTCAATAACAAGGCAACCAATACCAAATTAGAGAGCGCAAATACTTAGCTATACAAACTAAGAAATATGACTAACAAGGTTAGACAAACCAACTTAGCCACGCAAGGAAGCAACTTCTATGCTACACAAGCAAGAAGGTAACTAGTGAGCTACACAAGCTAACTAATTACAAGAGCAACTACACAAGCACAATATAAATGAAGTAAATACAAGCTTGTGTAATGAGGATGCAAACCAACGGGAATACAAGGATGACACGATGATTTTTATCCTGAGGTTCATGTGCTTATAAACACGCTAGTCCCCGTTGAGACAAGCTCCAAGATTGCCGCTGGTCCTCTTGCTAGTGATGACCCACAAGTCATACTCTCCCACTAGAGTGCTTACCACAAGCTCTAGCACTTGACCCGACCGGACCACTTGTCGCCCTTCGCATCTCGCTTTACTAGAATTGCTCTTCGCAGCTCCCACGGGGTGAGCACAATGCCCCTCACAAAGCTCTTCTCCGAAGCACCGCACAAGCTTTTTGCGGGCTTCGACAGAGACCACCACCAAGCCATCTAGGAGGTGGCAACCTCCAAGAGTAACAAGCACCACCAGCTTATAACTTGATCACCTCGTGCCACTCGATGCAACCTCATGATGCAATCGCATTAGAATCGCTCACCCACTCAATCGGATGAACACTATCAAGCTAGAGTGAGTTAGAGGGCTCTCAAGCACTACCACATAAGCCACCAAGGCTCTAGTGTGCTCAGCTAAATAGCCCAAGGCTGAGACCCCCTTCTATTTATAGCCCCCATGAAAATAGAGCCATTGTACCCCTTCATTAGGCACAGCTCGGGGTGACCGGACGTGCCGGTCGTATTGACCGGACGCAGGACCCTAGCGTCCGGTCCTCAGATCTTCGCCACATGTCCCCTGCTTCAAACGCTGATCGCCCGATCTCAACAGTCATCAGTACATTTACGTGGTGACCGGACGCACAACAGTGTAGGACCAGACATAGGACCCCAGCGTTCGGTCACTTTCAGTAAGCTTCCAGAGGTGGAAATTCGCGACCGAACGCATCCGGTCACGCCCGACTAGACTCGCCCAACCTCCGGTCACTCACCGTCTTCTCTGTGCACCGCCACATCGCACGACCAGACGCTGAACAGTGTTCAGCCTGAGTCCGGTCGCCTGCGTCCGGTCAAGATACCGAGGGTGGCCTTCACTACGCGCCACTGACCGGACGTAGGACCCCAGCCTCTGATCACTTGAGGACAGCGTCCGGTGCACTCTGTGAAACCCTATCTTTTCTGTATAGGGCGTCGGTGGCACCGTCGAACACTCCGCCGGTGAAGTTTCGAACCCTTGCTCCCAAGTGCTAACCACAATGTGTATCACCTTTGTGCATGTGTGTTAGCATATTTTCATAAATATTTTCAAGGGTGTTAGCCACTCAACTTGCCACGCCACTCGATCCTAGCGACGATGCAAAGTTAGATCACTCGAGTGGCACTAGATGACCGATATGCAAACAAGTTTGCCCCTCTTGATAGTACAGCCATCTATCCTAAACCCGATCATCAACTTCTCTACACACCTATGACCGGTGAAATGAAATGCCCTAGGTTATACCTTTGCCTTGCGCATTCCATTTCATCTCCTCCATTGTTGATGCAACATATGCACCAACCAATCACCAAATGATATGATCCACTTCATATCATCATGTGGCCGTATTGGTTCATCGATCTTGACTTCACTTGCTTCTCACCGTTGCCTTCGTCCATCGGCGCCAAGTCTTGCTCAAGCTTCACCGCCACGCGGTCCATCGCTTCAAAGCCTCTGACTTGCCCTTCACGCTTGCAATCGATCCATCAAGCCAAGTCATGTCTTGATCTTCTCCACCTTGATCACATGACTCAATGTCATGTCTCATATGCAATGAGCTCCTTCATCATCACATGTGTGAGCTTTGCAACATCTCCGAGCCATTTTCACCTTCTTGGCATATGTTGCTCACACACATGTACCTGTGGACTAATCATCTGTATATCTCACATAAACACAATTAGTCCACCTAGGTTGTCACTCAATTACCAAAACCACACAAGGACCTTTCACCACCCCATGCCACTACTTGCCATGCCGCCGGGCACGGGTTAGTCGGGGGTGCGCGCAGGGGAATTCCAAGGAAGCCGAGGGGGGGGGGTAAGTGAGAAGGTCTGAGAGAGGAGAAAATAGTGTTAGTACTTAGTTGTAAATTGAGAGGAGTTCGAGGTCACTTTTGCAAAATCGCTAGCGCACGCGGGCTTTCCCCAGCGCGGGCCGTCTCCCCGTGGGCCGTATCTGTGGACCGCCCCGCAAGCGCGTGCGCGCTGGGTCACGCGGGCTGCGTATGTGGGCCGCGCGGGAGATTCACTTTTTCTTTTTTTTCTAAGGAATTAGAAATGGTTTTCTAATTTAATTTCTGAGTTGATCTTTGGTAATTAATATAAAATTATGTAGGTGTCCAAAAATTGTGAAACAAATTTTGTCAGGTTCCTAAAGTTGTGATCTATCCGTTGGTGTATTTAGTTCATACTTATATGTGTTGATATTAGGAGTTATTAAATCATTTGAGAATGCTTAATAATATTAAGTTAATTATTGTAGAAATTTTTGTGGTAAATTGGTGATAGCTTTAGTCCTAAAATTTTTATGGTAGCTTCATTATATTATTATGTGTTCACTATAATTTTTGTAGCCTTAGAATAGACTAAACATTTAGGTAGTTAAATGCTCTTTGTTTCAATATACATTAAATCACTAGTATAAATAAAGACATATCCTTAATTTGTCAAGCTAAGCGTTTATTAGTTGAACCCAACACTTTGCTTGATGAAGATGATAGTTTGCTTAGTATCTTAGTCATTAGAGCTAGCTTAGTAGCTTGGTGTGTGTATTCTTATTTTAAGAGTTGTTGTTGCCTAAATGCTAAATGGTTGCATCATCATCGTATGCATGTAAAAAACAAGTTGGTGGAGATAGTGACCACAGACGATCTCAAGTTCGAGGAGATCATCGAGGAATACGAGGAGGAGGTCCTTGTGAGGGAGGAGGTCTCAAAGCCACCACCGACTGACTCGGCTGACACCGCACCTTCCCAAGCCAAGCCCTGGTGCATAACCCTTATTTTTTATAATCACTATATGTATATATGTGATGTGCATTTATGTTATAGGAATTTTATGGAAACCACATGCATAGATATATCTGTCCTATGAGTCTTACTAGCGCATGTTAGAATAGCTGCTATTGTAACACCTCTGGTGTTACGAGCTTACTTAGCTCTGAGGTTAAGGCCTGGGGGGTTAGCAAAGCAAGTTTTCGGGCTAACAAGTTAAAACGCATATGATAGGAAAAATAAATTCTGCAAATAAAAAAATATGACTAGTGTATAGCGCTTAGGTAGAAATGATGAGCAAATGGGGTAGATAACCTTTTGTAACTTTAGATGGTTGATATAAAAAAATGTGTGATGAATGAGAAGCTATTACACCACTCATGAATATGAAGTAGGGTTTAAAGCTAATTTTTATTGGACAAAAATACTATAAAACTTATACGTGGCACTGAAATAAAGTTTGGAGTAGGAACCTTGTAGATAGCAATGAAATACTCATGGTGGGAAAATGACATTGCTAGCTAACATTTATACTAGCATATAAATGCAACATGGAAATCAAGTTTAGTCAAGACTTGAGAGATTTTCAAGTTTGAAAACAGTGTGATGATGCTATGTTAGCCAATTAATTCCGTGTAATTTAGCTAAACAGTGGTGCCATGTTTCAGCTCTTGTTGGTAGCTCGAGGCGCCCTCCTTAGCATGGTGTAGGTAGTTTGGTTCCAAACTCAATGGTTTAGTTTTTAGGGACG